GTTAGATATGTACTGCGAAACTCCCGCCTATTCTCCAAAGTTGTAGAAGGTTCTCGAGAGTAAGAATCAACAATATATGTATGTACATAAACGCTTAAATGTAGCTCAGCACTGTTACGTAAAACTGAAAATTCGAGAAAGCCTCCACACACCTATAAATATAACCAACGGTATGCGCTAAAAAAAGAGTATCTATTTTTAGTTTGATATATTCGGTGCGCTATAAACTTTGGAAACTATAACTGTGATTGTTATCACAGTTATCAATCGGAAAACTTCAGATATTTGACCACAAGAATTTACAAAGTTCGAACATTACAAATCATTTAACTTCAGTGGATTCTCATCGGACATTAGTTTTTTTACGAAAACATTATCTAACGTCACCAGTATGAAAAATATCGGCATGTGATCAGCGAGAAGGAAAAAGCTAGCTAGCTCACTGTTAAGTGAATTATATCTACATCAACTCGATCATCGTGAGCCTTCGATAAGATATTGAAGAAGTTCCAGACTGGAAAGAATACTTTGTATTGCTTGTAAGTTTGTGAAACTTTTGTTTATAAATCATTGCTTGTAATAACTATTTGTAATAACTGTTATTGTAAATTGTATTGTTGTGTGTATATTAAAACGTATTTCTGTTAAAAAAGAAAACTGTGTGTATTAATCTTGTTGGCAAATATCTTAAACTGACTATATATCGGCTTTTACTTAACTACTAAATCCAAAGTACAATTTAACTACTAAATTTAAATGTATCAGTTAACTCAATTTCAGGCAATTTGAAATTCTAGTACACAACAACTTGGATGTAAGGAAATAATAACATCTCATACGATTATGTAATACATGTTGAGGAAACAAAAGAATAACATCTCACACACTAATGTAATATACTTTGAGGCAACTCAATGATAATTTCTCACGCGTTTATTTATTAATTTTTGAGGCAGCAAAAAAATAACTTCTCACGCTTTAATGCAATGCACTTTAAAGCAATGAAATAATAAGTTCTCACGCACTTATGTAACACATTTTGAGACAACTAAAGAATAACTTCCTACGCACTTATGTAATACACTTTCTCAAATGATTTGTGGTACACCTTCAGCAACGAAAGAGTAACTCATTACGCGCTTGTTTAATACATTTTAAGTCAACGAAAGCATAACTTCTCAAATTTTTATGTAATAGACTTTAAGGCAAGGAAAGGGTAACCTCTCACGTGATTATATAATGGAGTTTGAGGCAAAGAAAGAATAACTTCTCAAGCACTTAAATAACAGACTTTGATGAAACGAAATAATATCTTCTCACCCACTCATGTAATACATTTTGAGTTAAGGAAAGAATAATTTCTCACGCGCATATTTTATACACTTTATGGCAGCGAAAAAATAACTTCTCACACACTTATTTAATACAAGCTGATGCAGCGAAATAAGAACTTTCTTGCGCTTATATAATACACTTTGAGGTAAAGAAATAGTAACATCTCACCTGCTTATGTAATACTTTAAGGCATCGAAATAATAAATCATCATGCATTTTTGTAATACACTTTGATGTAAGGAAATAATAGCTTCTCATCCGCTTATGTAATACACTTTGAGGTAAAGAAATAGTAACATCTCACCCGCTTATGTAATACTTTAAGGCATCGAAATAATAAATTATCATGCGTTTTTGTAATACACTTTGATGTAAGGAAATAATAGCTTCTCATCCGCTTATGTAATACATGTTGAGGATAACTTCATACGTGTTCGTATAATACACTTTGAAGCATTAAAAGAG